AGGGCACACTGTATGTTAACAGGTTATTTTGTTTGGTAATCAGTCCAAGTAATAATAGTTTGATAGAAGCAAAGCCACTGTAACAATTTTATGCATATTAATCCATGGGAAATGCATTTTCTTTTTGTTTCTTCTTCACTTACCAGCAATTGGAGGTCCTAGAGTAAGAGGCACAGACTTGAGGGCAAATAACACACCGACACCATGGGCCATCTTGTCTCTTCCAACAATGTCGCCTGTTAGGACAGGAGCCAGAAGCACATAGCATCCCTCAAAGAAGCCAAACACAGTAGAGTAGATCACTAGCCCAGTGTAGGAGGTCAATACAGGACACAGGGTGTTGCTAATTCCAATCATGAGGAAGGAGATCTGGTAAAGGTACAATCTGTTCACTCTTGGGTGGTCAGCCACCTTGCCAAAAATGAGACGTCCAAGAGTAGATCCAACTGACATGATGCCGATGAGCAGAGTTGCTCTAAATGGGTCGATACCTTCTTCTGTGGCAAGACGCACCTTGGAAAGGTAAGGAGAAAGACACTCTTTTGAGCATTCACAGTTAGTGTATTGAAACCTTTCAAGGCTTCTATAATTCTTTTGTAGCGATGTAATTTTTAGTTTGTTTCTTTGAGTGTTAAAGACAAATTCTGGCTTGCTACTGGTATTTACATCACTGAGATGCCTTGAGAGAGCAGCATTGAGATAGAATATGTTGTTGTCTGCTGACTAATTTAAGTTTTTAGTATGTGAACCTAGCTAATTTTGTGCGCAGAAGAGCCAAAAATTTATAAAAGCATTCAATTCTTGTGCTGCACACAGATTTAGCTGAATTGAGAATGGGAAGATTTTTTTCGCACACTATAAGTGTATTGGTTAATCCACCTACATTAATGCTTACCAAGTGCACAAATGGCACAAAGTAACCCAACATCCACAGTGCCAGTGCTGCACACCACAAAATGTATGCCTTGTTCCTGAACAGTTCCTTAAAACTTTTGAGAACAGCAAATCGTGACTGCTTTTGCCCTGTGGCAGGCTTGGGTGGTGGTTTTAGAAAACCAGTGTTTATGGGCCTGTAAATAATAGCACAGAATACAACCAAAGAGAGCATTCCAGCAGAGATTCTCATTGTGTTGCGCAGGCCAAAGTGCTGTATTAATTTCTGCATTATAGGACCCATGCAAAGTGTGCCTACACCACTCCCTGAGGAAGTGATCCCATTGGCTAAGGAGAGACGCTTTGAAAAGTACTGGCCTAAGATTACCACGGATGGGAAGTAACACATGCTTGCTCCAACACCAAAAAGGAACCCATATGTCAAGTCCATCAGGTAAATACTTGTTGATATTGAACCCAGAAGACAACCTCCTGCAGCAATCATGCAACCAATCATTGTTGTAGCACGACAGCCCAACTTTTGGCACAGTGTGGTTGCGATAGGTCCAAGTAAGAACATCATCCCATATGTTATGGAACCAACCCATGCTGTGGAAATAATTTTTTCAGATTAGTGAAGCCTCATCCTTTTAGTCACAACTTCAATGTCATACGCATTCTTAAGAATTTCCTTTCTATCAGCTGGACTAATTCAGCTCTCAGTGCTATCAACAGCTGTTTAGGCAAAGGAAATTACTCTCAGCAGGCTTGCTGATCAATCCAGCAAAACAGCATGTGATTTAAGTTTTTTAATCACCCAATTTTTTTTCCTCCTTGATATGCATGTCTTTTTTCTGTCTAGAGGTTTATTGCATGCTTAACCCTTAACCTACCAAGATCTTATTGTCAATTCTCCCCTCTAGCTCCTGCACATTTTCTTGCAAAGTTATTTTGAGGATTTGGTTTACAATTTTGGTCAATAACTTATACCAGATACATGTTAGTTTGAGTATTCTCATTACCTAATTGCTGGATTGTGTATGGATATTATGGGGAGAAGTTACTTGTTAATCACTTATGGGCGGAAAAGGGTCAATATGAATGGGCAGATTTAGCTGGAAGGTTCAATGGGACTGTTTCTAATCCCTCCTCGCCCAGTATTGGTTTCATTGTAACTCTAGGAAAGTGGGATCTTCCTCTAAATTCTAATTTTTTGAATTCACCCATGCTGTGTAATTTGAAATCGCCAGGTGATTTTGGCGTTAAAGAGCAGACAAAGCAATCATTGGATTACTACCCTGTCACTCAATTTTTGTTGAGGTAGATGACATTAAAAGAAAAACAGAGCTTTTGCATCATGAGGGAATGAATTTGGGATTGCCTTTCGCTCAACACGGAATCATTAAAATCGAATTTTCATTCAATAATTTTAGCCTGAGATTAAATCTGTTTTTGTACAAGGAATGAATGAGGAACTTTCGGTGTTTACAGAAAAAAAAAACTTTGATTTAGAACTCTGTTTAATCCCTTGTTCTGCCAAGAAGCAAAAAAATATTTTAAATGCCATAAACAATCTGCACAAATCAACATAAGTTTTAAGTAATCAAGCCAGCATCAAGCCCCTGGAAACGCCATTAAATTTTAAGGTACGCAGCATTTATTTACTGCTTTTGCTTAACGAAAAACAAATTTACTTTTTCACCATGAATTATCAACACCTTACTTTTTTTTTTTTTAATAAATGTAGTGTAGAGATAAGAAAATGCTAGCAGACTTCATTTCGTGCGGTAAAAGGGAGACTTATTTCACGAAGACTTGACTTCTGTCTATCCAATTCACAGGCTGCTTTCAAAGTAAATAGACACAGTCTTGGTTTTCAACAAAAATATCCCGGGGTCTGAGTCGCGTGTTCTGGCCAAAATCTATCACACGTATTTATCAAGGATTTTTAACGAGCTTGAGAAGGAGGACAACAAGCGAGGCAAGTGGGTAGCTTTAGTGGAAAAGGTTGTAAAAGCATAATTTCGCGCAGAAAAGTGGATCGTTGTGATTTTTCTCGCGCGTAATGACGCGCTTCCGGCCGGTGAGCGCCACGCGTCAAGGAATTGAACTGACCACCTCGCAAACCCCTGCTGCAAACCGCAAAACGAAAAACTTTCTCGGCGTCGATTTGTGCGTTTGTGCTCACTTTATAAAAATATGAAATCAAAGGTTTCAAAATCTCAAAAGACTGGCTGAGACGCTACATTAGTCGAAACTATCCAAATAAATTTGTTATGTTTCACAAATTCTTCCCAAATTCGCAGGAAACACATGCCTCGATGAATGCCGTGGACAAAAAAAATCGACACTAAATGGTTCAGATTATGACACTCTGTTAGCGTGAACTGCGTTTAGGTGCGAATCTTTTGCAAATAAGATTTTAAAAAAAAATTCAAGAGAATCTTGCTTCGGCAAAGTAGGGTTCAACCCTCTGTTCTTTCCTCGAACCCTGTAGACCGTCAACGCTCTTCATGAATATGCTCAAACAAATATTTTCCTCAAGGTTCATTAGTAACAACATCAGCCTAAGAAGATATGATTTAAGCATTAATTAAAGAGCATTTCAACATATCATGGAGTTCGCTGTCTCGATTCTCACTCAGAGAAAAAAATTATCTCAAAAAGCGCTTATATGAAGCTTCAAGTTGCGTTTGTCAGCATGTTCGTTTTCCTGTTCGGGATTTTTATTTTCCAACTCAGGTTTAATTAACTATGCGTAAGGGAAAACCACGAACCAAAAATTAATTACAATCAAGTTATTTCCTGTGGAACTGTTTCTTTTCACGCAGGAATGGAATGAAACTCTTAAGTTTCGTAAGACGAACTTCATTTGAGGTGCCACTCCATTGTTAATATAAATTGCACCATAAAACAAAAATGTTTTTCTTACTTTTCTCGTAAACAGGGCAAGCTCTATTCGGCTCTCTTTTTGTTATTTTGCATTTTGAATGTTTCCGTGCTTCGTTAAGCCTCTGAATCATGGCAGGTTTAAGCCACCTACCGAGTTATTTTTTGCTCAGCGCTTATTGCGAAAGCGGAATAACCATTTCCTTAGTATCTCTAATCACCATTTTTTATTGCGCTCAGTGCCTGTGAAACGGAAACTTCGCTTGAGGCCCACTTCGATGTAGTTTTCTTCTCTTCGAGACGGACAATATCCCAGCCCGGAATTTGGTTTTAATTAGCGGTGAACCTAGCGTTGTGTGGATTTTGTAATGCTTATGAATAAGAGGTAAAACTTTCTCGTAGGTAAACGAAACAACTTCTCGATTGATTTCCTATGCCCTTCCGAAGTTCACTGTCTAAAAGAACGATTGACAAGTATCGCCACTGCGCTATTTATATCTAGGAAATCCGAGCCTTTTAATCTCTTGTTAACTTAGGGTTATCAGAGGAAGAGATAAGCTAAGGTTATGATTGACAGTATTCTTAGGTAAAAGAATCTTAAAATGTAGTTTTGACAAGGAAAGTTTGTGTGTGCGAAAGAGTTTCCCTGAAGTTAATTTCGTTAACAAAAGATGTCGATTTAGCGTGAAATTGAATAGGTTTAACATTTGTAATAACATTGTAAAAGAGGCTATTCAGTGAGTTTATTGTATGAAACTACGTCAATGGCTTGACTTAGGCGTCTTTAAATTGTTTTCTTTACTATTTTGTACAAGGTAAGCAGAGTTTGAGAACTATTGTTCAAACGAAAAAAAAAAACAATGGTCTTGACAAATGACAAGACCTATTGAATGCAAATGAATCCTTTTCAACTTGGCCAGTACAATGAAAATATTGACAGAGGTTTTTTCTTTATTTGTAGCAACAAAATCTTAAACAAAATCTACACCAGTTAGGAATTTCACATTAGAAGACCAAAACGAAAGTTCTTGTAACGAAACTCATCGGCAGTGCAATCAATTGTGGGTGTGTTGGGGGACCGGTTTTGACGTAATGGAAAACCCCTAAAAATCATGCAGTTTTAATCAAAGCTTTCCGATTGGACGATAATCAAGAAAAACAGGTTTTTGACGACACTTTGACATCTACTGTCACATATAACAATGGGGAGCGAATTCGATGGAAGAAGATAAAAATTTTCGTGAGGCTCAGCTGAGAATCTAACAGAATTGCCGCACATCTTGTTATAAGGAGGACTCAGGAACATGAGATATCGGAGTTGCAAAGCACAGTCATACGCAAGAAGGGTCGAACTTGTCGAAATACAAGGAAAGGGGGAGTATTTTCAAAACCTTCTGAATGACCTCCGAAAGTTTCTCTTTTCCGCTTTAGTCGAACCGCGACTAGAATGCCGATTATTTTCAAAATCGTTTTAACAGCTGATATCAAAGTTTCCCCACAGGAAAGTATAGGTAAAGATTTTCACCGGTTAGCGCATCACTTCGGCAAACGAGTCGCTGAAGACTTAATTTATCAGGTCCTTCGCGGGTCTCGATAGCAAGAGTTGCTCGACTAGCAAACAGCGTGATAAATTCTCAGTAATATTGCAACATGCATAAAGCGTTAGCTTCAAGATCTATATTTTTTTCTACGCCGAAACTGTCAAATCGTTCAGGTAACAGTTATAAGCAATTTAAGTTCAGCGCAAGATATTTAAAATATCAAACAATAAGAAACTCATTTGCATCTTGTTTTTGTCACAGCAGAATTTAAAATAGAAGGTACGAAAAAAAAATCTCCGTTACCTGCATCAGCTTTTCCAGTCTTGAACTCGTTAAGTAGCTCCACATACACCACCCCGAAGTTGTTCATAGTGCCGAGAACGATGAATTGCGTAGTGAACGTGGCCATGCAAACAAGCCACCCCCAGCCACCGTCAGGAAACGGTACAGTTATTTCAGGTTTATCCTCCATTGGTTTCTTCTTGCAGCAAACCATTTCTACGAAAATTCTTTTTTCGTCCCCTAAGCGCTCTTATTTCGTAGATCTCCAATTGGCTAGGACGTGTCTTTGTGCTGATCGGGTTCAGCGCACCGGTCGATAGGTTTTTCACAGCCCTTGAACTTATTAAAGATGTTACCTTGACCCGTGGATGGAATCGAGTGGCAAGGATTGTGCTGAGCGGCTCTGCTGTGCAGATATGAGTTCATTATTTGGGGAAATGACGTTTGTGTATCAAGCTGACATTTCCTGGCGCTGATTGGCTAATGCCACGTGTTTACCACAAATAAAAAAACACAAAACTCCACCGCTGATTAGGAGTGAATTCTCCTTACTCTAACAAAGCACGATCTGATATCAGCTGTCACGCCGTGACAGCAGCTCATGTGACCTCAGCAGAGATTTGCATGACAAGGCTACAGTTTAACCTTTCAAACAACAGTCTATTTTTTTTTTAATGCTAATTAATTTTTCTACTGAGAGCGGCCATCAGAAAAGCTCTCTCTGTTCTTGTTGCTCTGCTTTGAAAGTTATCAGAATAAACACGATCAAACGCACGATATCGAATTGTCCATTTCCGGCACGTGAAACGAACATGTTATGTAATGACCTTTGGGTCAGTATTTCAGAGCTAACTGAAAAAGCCTCTTTTGTTTGAAGCTTTTTGTGTTGGCGAATCATGAATTGTTTTTCACGTATGCAAATGGCCTCACGCTCGAACGCCTTTGAAGGCACAGAAAGAACGTCAGTTGCTGTTCGGCACTCTTAAGTCAGTCACTTGTTCTGCAAAAATCCAGATAACCGAGAGGGTTTAATCTGCTGGTCAAGTTTCAGGGGGCGAAACCGGTGTAGATTGAGGAGTTAAGGCTCTCAATGTGGACAGGGCCTTAAGCCTTCAGATTTTACGTGGTCAAATACAAAATTTAATGCCGGCTTCCCACTTTTTATCATGCTCAAATGGGCATGACATCTAATAAAAATATATTGGATGATGCAATTTTGATTCTAGGCGAATTGCTATTTTTTGATCAGGAATATTCTAGTTTGACCAGTCAAGTGTAAAGCTGTGGACCCCTATCTGCTATGCCTGGAAAATTATTTTAGAAGCTTACGACTTATTTATTGGGGCCAAACTGCGACTTGATCAATTTCTAATGTAACGACGACAGATAAAGCGGTGGGGGACTTTTAGCCCGTAAGACACTCTGTACAAACAGACACTTGAACTCCCAAAGATGAGATAACGTGCAGGTGAAAATAGATCTCACAAAACACGAATCGTTTGTCAAAACAACCCTAAAAAATATGTCCTTTCCTTTTTTTTTCCTTTCCCCCTACTTAAAGTAAAACTTCCTTTAGATGAAACTTCTTTGATTGCCCGCCTAAACTCGCAAGGAGAAACGGGAACAAGTCAATAGTTTTTTCCAGGCCTGAGTAAGGCTAAGCTTTCGGTTGCTTTTATGGTGCTGTCATGTGATTTTTGTGTGATTGAACGCCCTGTTCACCTACGCATTTTGTGGTATCCACGTAGAGTCATTCGTACTTTGAGTACGCTTATAATTAGAGTATAACGTAAATTACGTAATTTAAGCATTTTTACTTATGAGAGCAGTACAATACATCCTCGACTTGCTATGGTGGAATTCTTTCTCTAACTATCTGTGCCGAACTATTTTTTTTGTCTGCACCGCGTGGGCTGGCTTCATGTAACTCCATCCCGTTGTATTTGCCCCCCAAAAGTCAATTAATAATTTTGAAAAGATCGTTAAAAAGTTGTTAGGGAAGCTACCGCTTTTTGTTTCCCGACTACCAATTTGTACATTTGCTACGTTGTACATGTACGTCTTCTTACGAGAAGAACAGCAGGGGAAGAGAGGGAGGGGTGCTCTCTTTGTCAGTTTGCGTTCAGAACACGTAGAAAGGGAGGCGAGCAAATTGCGTAAGAGTTTGCGGCTTTTTTCCCAAACGCTTTGTAGACTTTGAGACATCTGCATGAAGAAAACACTCTTGGCCAGTTGTTCAAAGGAAGGATAGCATTATCCGGCGGATAAATCGGTATCCGGCGAACAGTTCTGAACAAAACATGCTACGCCATCCATCGGATAGAGATTTTAACAAGTGGTTAGTGTTATCCACCCTGTGAACAACTGGAACCTGTTAGACAGTAAATGACGAATGAAGAGGAAGGAAGCGTACAAACGAAATTTCCTTTAGGATGGAGATTAGCTCGTTATTACACACCGATCCTGACTATTGGTAAGTAACTCAGGAAATCATCGATAGTTGAGATTTACGGACAGATTATATTTTTATTTTCAGAAAAGGGATTTACTGTTTTTCCATTTTTTGAGTCACGAATCAGAAGGGTCGTGATGAACTTTGTACAGGCTTTTCTGGTCCTTCAGTGTCAGAACGGGTTGAAGCCAATGAGGAGAGCAATTTTCTCATCACTCCCTCCCCTCCCCTCTCACCCTGGGAACACACTGATTCCTTGAATCACAAGCTTTTGCAACCAAGCAGAAGTCGTCGTAAGATGATATTTTCTTTTCCTCAACAGAGCCGCTATTCTTTCACTCTCGCTCAGCAAAACTCTGTTGAATATACTCACGGTATGCTTTTCCGGCTCCGGAAAAATATGTGACCTTTTTGTAAAATTGTGTCATCGCTTCACGTTTTGCTGTTCGTCGATGCATACCTGCGTCATAATACTTTTACAGAGGATTTTTGAGTAGTTCCTTTTCAATACGATTTCCTGCTCAATTTTTTTTTTCGGCAGCATTTCTCAATACCTCCACGCAAGTTTGCCTGGTTCAAGTATACGTGGTTCGAAATCCAAAGCATGGAATAACTCATTAAAGATTAGTAATATTTGCTTGTACTTAATATTTGGTCGTTAAAGTTTAAATTATTAATTAAAACCGGAAGAAAAGCGGGCAGAGTGGTTTGCCAGAATACTCTCGAATGAAGGCCAAGGTGGTCAATGTAAGAGTCAAACGGAAATTATTAACATGCGAAAATTAAAGGTTGAGGCCACAATTGTCATCGGTGAGCCACCAGAATTGAGAAAGATGCCTCAATTGTCTTAATCTGTGACGTCCGGTTTCCTTGTTTCGTTGGAGGGGAAATTCATTCCTTTACGATTGTATACCTTGCATATCAGATTGGATAACCTTCTAGGACAATTCCCTTTGTTGTTCTGGGCTTAGGCAAGTCTCATCTTGCAGTTTGACTCGTAACCGAGATGTCCAGCTAAAGACGAGCTGAAACTGGCTTCATTTTCACTGCCTTGCCAGATCGAAACCTATAAGAACAAATTACGATCGGATGCTCAGCCGGCTCCTGCCTGTATCTCTTCAGTGTCACGACAGAACAACACTGATAACTGGAAGGCATGTCTTTCCCCTTTCAACTAAATGCCATTTTATGAGATGGTTTCCCTTTGCAAAGAGGAAATCTTTAAATAAAATTTCAATTCATCGTTATGTTAAGTTTGCATGATTGAGTATTTTGGAGAGCCGAACTGTGTGTTTGAGAATAACATACTTACCCACCCCACCTCGAATGATATCCCGTTCGCGTGCGTGAGGCCAGACGCGGCTGTCAGGCTTAACTGTTTGCGTGTACCCGCAATTGACCTTTCAGGTTAGAAACCTGGGAATGCATAGTGGGTCGATTATTTCAGGTTTGTTTAGGGTATAATTACAAGATCACGTTGGGAGCTTGCAGGTGGAGTGACTTATTTCATCCAATCAAAACTGCACGCTATGTTATGTTAGTTTTCCTTTACTTTTTGGACACATTTTTGTAAATCAAGAGAGCAGAATGTTAATGTCTTCATGAATACGGTTCTTTTGGCTATTTTTAGACTCGAGAGTTTATATGACAATCTCTGCTGTTGGTGCAATTAGACGGTGAAGGTGGTCTAAAGTAAAGGAAACGGGGATTGCTTAGTTTTCGTTACCAAGGACCAACCGTCGATTTCCTGCTTTGATCAAAACTTTTGAGGCAGCCTAAATAAAACGGCACTTAAGTTATTATAGGTTCTTAATCTTTTGAGAAATAAATTTATCAAGTAGTTAACTATGCCTCTAAGGTTACTCGCATGAGTTGCAGTTTGAAATTTTAGTGAGCCAACATGGCAGATTTGCTATGGATGAGGGACAAAGAAACTTTCAGTGTGAAGCGCAGTCTTCCTGATTTCCTCGTTGGGACAGGTCCTCGCGCTGGTCTCCTTCGCAGCCATATTGGAACGTAATTTTGGATGTCACGCAACGCTCTTTCGAGTAAATGTTGTGTTACATCACGCAAAGCCGCTGCGTAGGAGACTCTGTTCGCTCACGAGTTTAGATTTCTATCTTCCTCCCCTTATTTGCTTGTAACGCAAGCTAGATTAAGATGTCAAAAAGAGTAGATGTACAAAAATGGAAATTCAAGTCAGGGTGTGATTGTTTATGGCTATTAGACTGAAAAAAAGGAACAAAGGGTAAGATGGCATCAGGTGTAAACTTCGAGCTTCGAACTTCACATTTCCCGGAAAGTTATGGAGGGATAAAGTTGTGTGCAGCTTTCTTTACAGCCGTTGAAATGAAGCTTCCACCACACGCGATTATTTGCCTAGTGAAGCTTTAATTATAAGTGATGTCAGTGCACAGCCCGATTTGTTTGGGATAACAGACTGAAAATCTCTACCTCGATCTCTCTTATCAGGGTCACTTAACATTTTGATTGTAGTGTAGAGATAAAAACGCGCTTGTAGGTTGACACTAACTGAAACACAAATTCGCGTTGCCTTATCATTGAGATCTCAGAATGCGCGAAGAAAAAGGAAAACAAAAGTTAACCCCTTAATTCCTAAGAGTGACTGGCATCTAATTTCTCCTTACCATATCACCCCTGAATCGAAGGTTAAGGTCAGGAGAATAAAGGAGCTGATCACCGACTAAAGGAGTTCTTGATTGTTAGACAAATTCTCCATGTCGGCATCTTAGGAAATGTGTAGAGGACAGTACGGAGAATATTCATGATGATTTTAGGGTGAAAAGGGTTGAAATTGGTGCCCTCAAAAACGTGCAGCGATCCTGGAGGTTGTAAGGTTAGTTATGATATTTCCTGTAAAATGCTGAATAAGATAATCCATCATAAACATTTCCGGTCACCAAAGGGGAGTTTTTCATTAATGTCGTGTGGTGATACTTTGAAGAATTGTGAATTCATACTCTACAGAGCGAACACAATCATAAACTGGACCAAAAAAATTGGGTTTTTTACACTTCTCTTTGAGATTTTCCTGTGAAAGTGTACATTTTTATCCAAGAGGAAACCCAAAGATACAGGACTGATTTGAAGGTGGTCTTGACGTAGGAGTCAAAAGCATGTCTTCACAAGACATGCCGACAGTTTATTTGAGACCTTAGTAAGACCCCGTTTGATATGGATCTGAAGGAATTAAAAGAGAATTAAAGAGCTATGAATACACTAGCACTGGGGCCTCAAAGGGGTCAAGTTATTTTTAGGCTAGCTGCAAAAGGTGGCCTTTTTAAGGGAGAAATGTGACTGTAATATTAATAAGGTAGCAAAACAGTATGGATATACTACGTCGTGGTGGTGACTTGTCAAATTGTACAGTTTTCAATAAAAGGTTAAATTGTTTAAAAGTTCGACAAGGGAAATGATAAAGTAAAATAGGATAGAATATAATCGCTTTATTTTCGATCGACTTCTTGAACTCTTAGCTGTAGATTGTGTCACTGTCTCACGTCTTAAAATAAACTTTCAATTTCCATGTCAAATTCCTGTTCATCAGATCGCACGTATTTTCATGTCAAATTCCAATTTCCATGTTAAATTCTTGTTTTTCAGATTGCACGTATTTTCAAGTAGTTAAGAAGACTGATGATGTATGTCCGGATGTTTACGTCTTCTCCTCTTCAAGGGACGTGGCCTCAGTCTTGTACATTCAAGCTCGGAGCAACTCCATCAAAACGTCAGCATTACCATGGAAACCATTTTCTAATCAGGATGCAGGAAAGGGAACAACAAGTTTGATTCCCTGGTAACTAGTGGCAAGCCATGACACACCAACGCGACTAGATGATAAAATTTTCTAACTAGAACGCTCGTCTGCAAAATTTATAGCCGAACCCAATGCAAGTGCGCTGATCTTTACTCATTACTCAGGCGGTCAGTTGGAGGCTTGAGTTACATGTCGGTTCTTTCACCTATCGCGGTTAAGACTCTAAAGCGCATGCGTGAGGAACCATGTGAAAACGGTATGAAAGGCATAACGTCTTTCACAGGCTCTTCAAATCTTTTTCACGTGCCATTCACATGCATGTTGAATTCACCGGCATGAGCGTCAAGTGCCTGAGTACACGCTGATACGCGTCTAGTTGTTATATGACGAAATGCAAAGTTCCCACCGATCGTGATTAATCCCCTTGAAGTTATTGGAAGTATCATCATTATTCAATTTGGCGCCTTCGTTCCAATAAGCGCCCTCCTCTTATTCTAAGGAGGGCCCTGTTGCATAAGCACCCTCTTTCCAAAGAGCGCCCCTATTCCAATAATACAGTGATGGCACTGTAAAAGTACCTGTACATTAAGATCAACCATGTTCATCTTCCTTAAATCGCTCATTTGAAGCCTAATCACAAAAGCGATTCTCACAGGCGATTCTCAAAATTCCCTACCAATATTAGGTGAATATTCACTTCAGTCTCTTTGTTACCTTTACAGTCTCAGTTATTGTTCCTTTGTAAATAAACACTAAAGCTTTGTTACGCACATTCTGCTGCTTCTCAAAAAAGAAAAAAAAAATCGCCCTTTCACTAAGAAGCGCTATGTTTCTAATAAGTGCCATCCCACGAGTTACCACAAGTAAATAAGCCCCTAGTGCGGTAAATCGAATCATTACGGTAGTAGCCCTTAGCTCCGAACGTCATCCAGGGGGACTTTATCTACCAGTTTGAAGGAGAGGGGGAATTTTAAAAGCTGCGCCGTGTTTCTTTGAGACAACCTCATCCCCAGGGGTTTTTCGATCACTTTGAAAGAAAACTGGTTGCCCTTTAAAGGACTGGCGGTGAAACCCATGGGAATAAAGCTGTTTTTGGGCCTATTTTTGTGAACTGAGAGACAGGCTAAGTGAACTTAAATGATACCAAAAGGCAGAAGTTCGGTTAAATTAGAGAGACTGGCACAAATGAGATGATAATGAAACAAGGATGCCAAAAATGAACAACTCACATATGAAGAGCTTGAATATTTTTTAGACTTAGTTAAATTAATGACATGAAAACGGCGATTTAGCCTCCCAAAGAGATGTATATATTTAGAATTTTCAAGGTAACAGAAGCGATAGCTTACCCCAGCCTTATTAACGAGGGCTAAATTATGGAGGGTATAGCGTATTTCCAATCCCTCTCAGCTAAGGTAAATCGAAAGGGACTGCGCGTGGGCCATAAAACGTATTGTGTGAGGCAGATGTTCAGGTGGTCCAGTGAGGTGGTTTGACATTTGTAAAAGCACTTTAATTCCTTCATTTAGCTCATCTGGTGACTAATAATTATTAAAAAAATAAAGCATCACATGTCATATACTTCTCTCGTGATAGTCCATTAAGGTGATTCCTCAAAAAAAAAATTATCGGAACAATTTCTTTCCAACTTTCCTTAAATATTCCTTTTCAATGTCTGCTTCAAAAAATACAATAAAAAGAGCAGGTCACCACACTTGTTTATGAGATATGGTGGGCCAAACTTTCCCCATTTATGCCTGTACTGGCACTAATCACGCGCGTCATTTCGGTTAACGGTACATTTTGCTGCAGCTGGAAGCAAGGGTTTTTTAAGTAACACTTGAAAAAACTTGATAAGTAGAAAGTTTCTAGCGTATGGAACAATTTGATGTGTAATTTGTGGGAAAATCAAGCAAATTGGACTGAAAACGTCCCTCGAGTCGTTCCTGTCATGGTCATAATTTGCATCCTCGAGTAACGGGCTTCGTGCACGCTTCTAGCTTTATCTTTTTCCCCAATTTAAAGGGGATAATTTGAACACCAAAGTTATGCAATAAAAAATATAGGTCACTGTTCTCGCTCAAGAGCTAAGGATCTTCATACCTCTTTACTTTGCCTGTTTATCGAGAAACAACACCGTGTTCTTGGAATGTGCGCGCGCTTAATCGTGATTAAGGTGATTTTTATGCCCAGTGCTGGATGCGCGGTGCAATACTGAGGAATCACCTTAATTATTAAAGTTATTGATTGTTAGATAATAGCTAACTAAATAGATTGGAGTTCTACTATTGTCCTCACAGTCTTATATTCTGTCTCTATGATTAAAACTAAACTAGCCTACCCCAGGCTCTCAGTGTGAGCAGACGAACGAAAAGTGGGAGTGTGACAAACGGTGATTACTTTACATGAAGCTCAAGCACAATCGGGACAGGCCTATTTACCGCTTAATAGAAAATGTTCATTTCCATGGCAAATACTCTTTGGGTACAATGGCTCCATGGAATCGCCATGAGTAGCACACTTAAGGCGAGTAACACGTCTTCTTTATACTCTCGTTTTTAAACGCATGTTCCTTTTCGAAAGGAACGATTGTCTTAGAAAAGTTCTCCACATTTATGTAGACTCTCAGTTATGTAATTCTCTCCAACATTTCTCCAAAAGTAAACCTCGTGATTAAACGTCTCGATTGAACCGAATTTTTGAGGCCATATTAGGATTAGCGGCGGAAAATCCTCTGTGGAAGGCTGACGTCTCAGAGGACGATAGCAGCGTATGTGTTCCATCTTCACGCCAACCTAGTGGGAAGCAATTTCCCATCCCTGTCGGTATGATTTACTGATTCCCTCCGGTACCATTCCAATTTCACATCATTGGCATCCCATTGCCTTCCACTATGATTTTGATAAACATAGTGTCATCTCGAACATATCCTCTGGTTCTTAACAGGCTATGAGAACAAAAAAGAGGGCAGCCGGAGGCGATGTTCATCTCCGAACGCGGTCGCTGAAAGCTCGAGCTGTTTGGATCCGGTCGGAATGTCTCGGTAATGTGCGATAGACGCTCTTGATCCATCAGCTTCATAGTGACTTTATGCTGAAACGGCCACGTTAACAGAGCATCATACTCTCCCCTCATTAAGACGATAAAGAGGGATAGGTACTTTCCTTTCCCCATTGGCCCATCGCCGTTGAGGTAAGCGCGTGCGCAAAGCTTGTATCCGTAGCGCGAAGTATAAAATGGCGGGCTGTATATGGAGATTGTCCTCCCCTCCACGGATTCCCGAAATCTGCGCTGATAGTTGTCAATCTTCCATAGGAAACAGCCATCGTAGCACGTGGTCTCCATTATCTGTAGTTTAAGGTCTTGGTCGGCTAGTTTTATTTCGTGCAAAGCTATGGAGTGTTCCACATTTCCAAATCGATGATCATCCCTGCCGGATTCTAAGTTCCCTGGTTGTGTGCGTGATCCCGTGGCACCAAACCTTGCTACCTCTTCCGCTAGTAGCGCCAATCTTTCGTCTTGGAAATTTATACGCCTCATTACTTCTTCACTAGCATGCTTGCTTTCTTTTTCCTGGACCAATGCTTCGACGCTTTTGCGAAGTTCATCCATGTTTTTCCTCTGAGAATCCACATTCTCTTCAACTCTTGCGAGCTTGACTTGATGCGTAGAGAGTGTCTGTTTATTCAAAGCCAGGGCTTCCGATTGTAATGCTAAGCGCGCCTCGTAAGTTTTGATTAACTCCTGGGAGGCTTTCAGCTGTTCTTGAAAGATTTTCATTTCCGCTTGTGTTTTCTCGTTGTTTTTGGCCACGAGACTCAAGTGCTCCGTGGCATGAGAGTGGAGATGTTCTTCTAAAGAATCCCTACAGTCGTGAAAAGTGCAGCCTACGAAACTGAAGTTACACGGCACAGGAGCTCGGGGGCATAATTTGGAGTGTTCTTTAAGGTCTTCCCTGGGAATGTCACTCCTATCGCAGCCATAGGAACATTTCACCGGGAACTTCTTACAATCCTCTAAATGTTCCCTCATTTTAATCCCTGGGTATCCATCCTGGCAATAAGGGCACTCCACGACCTTGTACAGACAATCATTTTCGACATGTTTAGCTAATTGGTATCGCAAAATAACCACAGTACACCCCAGATGACTGTAAATGCATTTCACTTCCGAAAAAGAACACTCGGCCAGGTGAGCTTGTAATTTAGCCAACTTCCCACACCATGGACAACCGAGCGATTTCTTCGGGCAAAAGCATTCCAATGAAAGGATTTCTTTTTGTGCGTATTTGTCCCTGAATATCAAATTCCATTGTAGGGGCTCTTTATCGTCTGGACATTTTGGGTCGTTTGGTTCCCTCTTGAAAATATCCTCCAAGCACGACCAACAGAACCTACAATAGGGAACAAGGAAAGCTACTTAACATATTTGATAAGAACGAGAGGTAAAATTAAAAGAAATATCCCCATTTTACTATCATCATAACCCCATCATCGACAAGGGAGCAAACCGAGCGAAGTTGCCGGTTTAAGGGATTGGAACGAGACGTGCGCACTACTGTCTGTCTGTTGATAATTTCATGCTTTATTCTTGGACTAAAAAACGAAATTTCTGCAAGTCGACTCAGCGTTTCACGCTAGATTAAAAAAGGGCTCTAAATATGAGGTCAAATTAAGCAGTTTCTTTTCTGTTTGGTCATCGATGTCTCTAGGAAAAAAAATTTTAGGAACCTTGCGCACGCACTTCAACGAAGAGGGACAAAGTTTGATCGACTCTTGGTTATCAGGCGAAGCGCACGTAGTTCTGCACAGAACGCAATTTAAAAACCAGCGTTTGATTTGTCATGGCTAAGAAGTGTGGCGTGCGTATGCATTCATTTAGTCGAAGAAGACCGGTTCTGCTTGGATGAACTAAGTCAATATTCCTTAGTCGCTTAGTGCTCAAATTTAATCGATTTCAACAAAGGCCACGTATTCGCTGCTAAGCAAAGTTGCGCTCGGCGTGGTCTTCGTGATCTTCGCAGCTATTGAAAACTAAGCCCTTCTTCCGTGTAGGATGAACATCAGTGACATCAGTAATCTTGCCCACTCATTTGATGTAACGTAACTAACAATAGAACTGACTTTACTATGTTGGTATTTCGCAATAAGTGCGATTAAATACTAGATATTTTTTTTACACACGTCGAAGCGATTTTTTTGTTCTCTTAACTCTTGGTTTTCCTTGCTATGAACCCTCCTGATTGAATGAGTGACAATGCTTAACAGTCAAAAACTCTACGACTATTACGGGGTAAAATCAGAGAGAAGTAGGAGTTGAGGAAATTTCCTTCATCGGCAAAATAACGAGGAACACGAATTTTTGCAACACTTATGTTCACGAGAACACGCAAGCTTAAAAACCACGTCAGCCCAGTAGATGTGATCAGTAGCTGTGCTCTTGGTTTGCGCACATCTCAAAGAACCTTCTCCGTTTAATTTTTAAATCTTAAGTCGAATGGGCGAGTCATACGATCAACCGACCGATTCGTTATAGCCATAATTAGTTTCGCTAGTAATTCTGTTTTGAGTTTAAGACTCGACCGTTGTATCGATTGGTGAAATACCCTTTCTGTGGAAATTACTTATTTCACCAACCTGTCACCCAAATGAGTAGCGATATAGTTGCCGTTTTGATATAACTTTGAAAAGCAGTGAGTCACTGCGTAGCAAACGACTTCCGCTCGCTCTAGAAACTTCTACGTCTAGCTTACCTGTGTCCACAAGACGACTGAGCAGGATCTTTCAAGACATTATCACAACTTATACACTTATAACGTTCTTCGAGTTGTCTGACAAATTCAACATCAGATGGCACTATTTCCATGCGTTTTTGACGGTGTTATAGCAGTCAATTTAAGGATCCCACCGACGTCCGTTGAAGCTTAAAGCGAAGGTGCTGATCGAAGCACATTTGTCGATAGTGCTGCGAAGGCAGATTAGAAAAGGGGAATCCCCTAGTCACCTGATAGACTTGACTTCACTTTCGCCCCAGGCCGCAATCATAGTCCGGATTTGGGCCCTCGTGAGTAACAACGAATGCAAGCACGGACACGTAAGGCGATGAAAATTTATCCTGAAATTATTCTATATTTAGCCCTTTTATGATATGCTTACTTTTTTTAGCTTCTCTTCTTCCTTGCCTCAGTTCTGTGACAGGAAAGGGGAAGCTTCAAGGTTGATTGAACAATCAGGGTTCCTAATTAGCCTCTCGATGAATTAAGAGAACTTTGATGCCCCCATTGAAACTACACCTTTAGGGAAAGTACGTTTTTTCTTGGCGGGGTGAGGGCTGGGGAATTTTGGTATTTTTTCCAAAAGAAAGTGTTGGCCCTCCCTCATGTTTTGATTAAAAAACTCCCCTCACTACCAAATGGTATGCTCCATGCCATAGAAACCTCAGAACATTTTTCGACATTTTGCTTGTATTTTGCTTTGGAGCTACTACAAAAGGCTAAAGCACGAGTTGAAAGAATTTTCTTATCAAATATGTTAAGTTGAAAGGCTGGCTGGCTTAACACCCCTGATTGGTAGCTGAACGTATAACGCCATGGCATTATACTTGAAGAGGACCTCTACAGGCATTCAAGGCTCAATTAAGATACAGTAAATCAGAAAAAACAACTCACATTGTTCCCCTAATTCTCGAACATTTGGCACAATTTCTACTAAATGACAAAAAATCGGGCAAAATTATAATAAAGGCCTGCCATTTAGTCAATTAGTCCAATGGAATGACATAGGAGATTGGGTACCCTGTAGATGAAAGAAAGAAAGGTTTCACTCCTCTACTCCCACCCTAGTTTTGACATTCTCTCAATTGTTTATATTTATTATTATTATAAAGTACAAAAGAGTAAAAAACATTTTCTATGTCTGTGATAAGTTTTCTGGAGGGTATGGCCTAGCTATTCTCCAAAGAGAGAAAATAAATCACATATATTATCCTTTCAATTTAATGTGAGACTGGTCATAATCTAACAATCTACGTTGAGTTGGACAGATCACCACCCGATTTTCTCACATTTGCAATTCTTTGGAACAAAGGATTGTAGAATGAATCGATGATGATTTAAATTTTTTTGTTGCTTGCCTCTGTTAGACACAATTGTAAGAAAGATGCTTTCAATTGATTGTGTGAACAAGCAGAGACAATTGTTGGGTGTATTGACTTATAAGACGTGGGCAAATTGTTAAAAAGGTTTAACACAAGGAAAGTCTGCACAAATTCTGTTTGCCAAGTTGACATTCCATTCCATTGGAAGAAAAATATATATGAACAAATTTAAGTCTCTCTTGATTTACATGTTGAACTTTGTTATGTGGTTTGGTCCATTATGTAAGAGGCATGTATTGGTAAGGGACTGAGAGACTTTGATCAAGTAAAGCCCTGATATGGTTTGGTAAGGTAAGGGTAAAGTCTTAACCCCTTATTCTCTATACTGTTCTCTATGTATTTCCTTAGGTGCTGACAAGGAGAATTTGTTTAACAATCAAAAGCTTCTCTAGTTTGTTATCATTTCCTTTATTCCTGTGACTGTAATATTTGATTCAGGGGAGATATTGTAAGGAGAAATTAGATACTAGTCACTCTAAAGGGTTGGAGGGTTAATTTTTTGCCCCCTAAGAGTGACCAGCATCTAATTTCTCCTTACAATATCACCCCTGAATCACACATTAAGGTCACAAGAATAAAGGAAATGATCACCAGCTAAAGAGGCTCTTGATTATTGAACAAATTCTCTCTGTTGGCACCTTAAGAAATGTAAAAAGAACAGTATGGAGAATATAGAAACTAATGCAAGGGTGTAAAGGGTTAAGTTGCCCAGAAAGGCTGACAGCACCAGAGCTTGTCCAGGTTTCTAAAGTGGCAAGGTGCAGTATTGTAATAAAGTTTTTAAAAAAATGTCTTGGATGTAATGACATAAGTAATCATTCCTTTGTGAGCAAATCAAGTGTGTTAGATTACTGTTTGTTTGCTCAAGTTATGTATTTGGGCCGATGTGAGTAAGCTTGTTCTGCATATATTGTGTGTGTGTTAAGTATTAACACTAGTTTTGCAAGTAATTTTAGTAAATAAGCATAGGCAATTACATGATTTTGAGTGCAATTTGCTGTAAATAAGCACAAGTAATTTTTTTTGAAATGTAACAAGATTGCATGAGTCCATTGGGGCTGCCAAGTGCAGTTTGCAGTCTTTGAAAAAGGAAGAAAAAACAAAATTACTTAATTTAGTTCTTAACATGAAACTATGAAAAGCATCACAGGAAGTCAAGACAGATGAAATTTTATAGTGCCCACTATTTGATGCTTGTGATGTTATTTTTGTACTTTGTATGCACTTAATATGAAAGAAAAACAAGTAATATTGCTACTCCTCAAAGGAGAGATATCATTTCATTACAGGTTACCCTCATCTGAACCATTTTAGCAAGTTTTTTACAGTTCCCTATCATCCATTTGTGTGGAGAAAGGTATTGTGCTAGCTGAGGATCTTTCCTAAGACCACAGTAGAAAAAACACAACCACAGCTACAAACAGGCCCCTGTTGTTTGAAAGGAGGATTATTTAATCCACTGAATAAATCTTTATCAGCTGGACAGCAAAGTATGTTTTATTGACACCTATCAGCTAGAGAGTGATTTATCCTTTGGGTAGTGCTATTGGCCATTTCAACAACTGTGCGCCAGACCTCTTCATCCATAATAGAGCAAATTACATAGCCACTTAGCCTCTGAGAGATGTTTCAAGGAAGGATAATGCTATATACTGGAAAAGTCTCTATCCCATGGATAGAAAAGAACATCATGTTAAAAGTTTCTGGCTGGAGGGTGATTTATCCTTTGGGTAGCACTGTCCACCCTTGAATAACTGGGCCCAAGACCTCCTAATTATAACTGTAAAAGGCCAAACACTCAGCCTCAGCTATTCTAATCTCAAAATGGTTAGTCACTGATTAACATCATTATAATGTACATGGAAAAAATTACCCACTTCTAACTGGCTGAAAAACAAGAGCATTCTCTTGCAACACCAGTGCAAATTACAAATTGTGCATATTGGTCATGACTTTCTATGATGTTTTTTATGTTCATTATAAAAAAAGTAGCAACATGATTCCTCTTGCAATTTGGTATGATAAGCACTTTTAAATTTTTCAAAGATTATAAATTTCACTTGCCCTATGGGCTCATGCAATTTTGTTGTCTTTGAAAAATGTACTCATGCTTATTAACATCAAATTGTAAGAAACATGTCATTACCTATACATATTAACAACACGATAAAAGGAACATTTTAAAAATACATTTAAAATCAGTGCACCCCCATATCTGTGATAAAATACAACTGTATAGCATATAACCACTGTTTAAAATATTTACAAATTACAACCGCTTTGTTTTGGTTTGCTTGTCTTTTTTATCAGACTGCATTCTGTGATGGTCTCAATAAGAGCAATCTTGAAAGAGATTGCACCTTGTGAAAGTGACTGAATAATTAAAACCCTGAGTGGAGGTCATCATCACTCTGTCTACAGAGTATAGCACATGCGCACTCAAGTTTTTCCTTTCTTACCATGCATTTCACATGGCAGAATTGCCTTTGCATGCATGAGATCTCGTCAAAATCTGCCATACACTACAGACTGGATCATCATAGTCAAGAAGGTGCTTAACTCTTTAACTCTTAGAAGTGATTAATGTGTAACTTATTCCTATAATATTCATAAATTATCCATAAAACAGCCAATGAGATTATTCAACCTCAAGATTTTATCTTTATCAAACACCAATTTCTCCTGACCAATGAATAAGGAAATGTGTGGCAGCAAGAGGGGAGAATTGACAATAAGATCTTGGGAGTTAAAGGGTTAAATTGTAGACATTTCAATCACTATTATATCTAAGATAATCACATGATAAGGGCAAATATCAGCTAAGGTTTTCACCCTTCAACTGTTTTAAATTAAGATAAAGAGCAATCATTACGTTGTCCGCCCTTTTCTAACGGTGGAGAATTTGCATTTTGAACTTGGCTTGCAAACTTTTCTTCCACACACATCTGTGGTTCTTCGGGATCCCTTGCAATTTCCTCCTCTTGGGGAAAAAGTCGACGTGCTTCATCCTCTAAGTATTTCAGTATTTCTGGCTTATGGACAACGAGTTTTAGCAGAGCAAACGCATCTGCCTCTGCACTATGGGTGTCAACGATTTCCCCGCCAACGTAGGTACTATACAAATGTTTTAAGGAACAAATTCGCTTTCCTTTTCGATTCACATCTTCTCCCACAACCTCTTCATTATTTCTCCCATTTTCAGCTTCTTTGTATTGTTTTCGGAACGCTTTGACCGAATCAGAGGCGTGAACTGTTCCAGGTAGAGTTGTTCCGACAGCTTGAAGATGAGAAACAAGAATTTTGAAGTCAAAGCTGTCGCCATTGTGAGCAACCAAACACACTGGTTGTGGTTGTCTAATGATGAACGATTTGACAATTCTTCCAAGCTCAATATCAAATTCTTTCTTCCTCTCGAGATCTCCTTCTGATATCCTGCTTATCGTAGAAGCATCTGACTCGATCGCTTTCGTAGGTCTAACCGAAGTGGTAAATTTATCGAGCAAACGAGGGACTGTTTTGGTTGCGGAACTCTCAAGGATATGTTCTCGTTCTACAGCTATCATGCTTAGCTCAGTAATTCCACGAGGATTTTTGAGTCCTGTTGTTTCAAGATCAAGGAAAATGAAAGAAGTGAACTGTGAGTCACAAAGCATTCTTTTTCTTGGTAATTTCGAAGGCAAGAGCCGCAAAAAGAGAGGCGAAAATTTGACAAGAACTGAGGACATATCACGTGCAAGTGAACCTTCGCTTTCGCGCCATTTGTTCGGATTCAGTTTCTCTCTGTAACGAGGCTTAGAGCACATGTGTGCGCAGGATCCTTTTGTGCATAAATTCCAACGAGTAAACGCTGATACAACCTGTCACTGCGGCTCACTTTTGACGTGGAGGTTGTTCGAATTATGCAAAACTCAGGGAGAGCGACATGAAAACAACTTCCGAGCTTCTCAGAGAAGACAAAAGTCCAAAACGGTAGATTGTTGTTAATGACACCCGTATTCAATTTTTTTGAATTCAAGCCCAAAACGTGCACTTCTCAACGACACTTTTACAGTGTGGATCGTAAAAGATTTGTCTTGAGGATCGTCGGAAAAAAAATATTCAAGAAAGTGCGAGATGGCTGCAATTGTGAGTGAAGTGCATAGCTTAGTGTATTAAGCTAATGTTTTCTTTTCGTGTGGTCTCTAAATTTAAGTTCCTGCTGAGAATTTCTTTAATTTAGGAGCTTTTGAAATTGTTCGTGTCATAAGCTCTGGCTAAATGGTAGAATTATCGAATGAAGTGAATTGAATATGAAACCGCCGATGACGTTATTGCAAGTTCATTGATCGCATGTAAAATTGGTCGCGTGTGTTTACATGCCTCAGTTCTTTTCATCTTAAAACATCTTAATCTTTTAAAGCAGCTTATTGTGTACCTGCGGTGTAAAACGGTGTTTATCAAATGGTAATTTACTAATCAGAAAAAAATCATCCTTGTTGTTGCTTTCGTTTTGATGTCCACTTCCTCTTGCGAACTTTTAATCTAGAGGTAGAGAACTGCTTGTTTGTCTTTGATAAAGAAAAGAAGCGCTTGAATACCTCTCTATGACAAATATTTGGCTTCTCGAGTTTTCATGGTTTGATCTCTTACAATGACTATACCATGTTGTTAGCTTTCGAGAGTTTATTGTGAAATCAAATTCTAACCTAATCTTTATGAATCTTTTCCTCGTGTGTAGCGGTACTCAGACAAAAGGACCCAATTTAGATAAATGTATTTTTAAAAATTTATCAGTTTATGTCGGATTGATTTTCAACGTAACCTGATAACGTATTTTTAAAATATAGTCGAAAGCAAGTAAGCCATATCGGTAGCAAATTTTTCATCATGGTTAGTTCAATTGATACAGTTTTCTGCTGAATATAGCAGCTCTACCCTAAGTTATAAAGGGGAAGATTTTGGTGTGTTGGTTAATACAATCTGAAGGCTCATTCTTGCGAATTAAAAGGACAGTTGTGCTAGCAATAGTGTAGAGTATTCAACTTGAGAAATCATTGCAGATTAATATGAAAGCTGTGCAAAGTATTTCAGCCAATATTGTACACATGCTTGCAGAAATATATCAGAAAAACACTTTAACAACACAAATATGGGGCTGTAACTGGTAAGGTATCTGCAGGTTTCCTTTTAAACTGTTCTGTCTTTATAGAATAATGCAGACCCTCTTGGTGTTACAAATGGTATGAAAAAGGAAGCCACGTCAAACACAACACCAACAAAATCACAGGGAAAATCACAGGTAACATATTCTACATAGTCCTATATATAAAATATGTGCTTATTGTTCATCATGGTGTAAGGTAGGAGATGAACTTTGTTCGTTTGTCTCACAGTAGAGTCACTTTTGATGTAAATCACGACATTTCGAATGCAATACTGCCTGTCTTCATCAGACGACGAGGTCGATTGTTTACATGTCACTATTTGTAGCACGTTGGTATGCTGTTATTGGTGCATTTTGATCTTCATTGTTATTCCGGTTATTAGATGGTGTTCCCTCATAGGTCATCATAAATCAGCTGTTGTGTTGTTTGATCGTGGGTATCTAAGCTTCTGGAATGTGGATTCTGCTATCCTATTGATGTAGTTGAGATGAAGTTTTATGTGGATAGCCTTTCTTGAGTAAATGGGAGAAAGGACAAAGGAACATAACAGAGATATAGGGTAACTGCTTGCACTCAGACCTCTGCAGTTTGAGAGCACACCAATGAAATGGGGCATATTCCTATTTGGAGAAGATAAAGTTTATTAGTTGTGACCCCCACTGGTAAACATGTAGAGTGAAAGAGGCTATCCCTATAAGATAACATCAAAACTGACTCTATTGTGAGACAAATGAGGGTACCGCTGAAAACTGCTGTGGCGAGTTGGGCTTCCTTGTTAAATATCATCATCATCATCATCATCATTATTATTATTATTGAAAACAAACAAAGTTCATCTCCTAGTCCTATATATGTTTTTAATATTTGTTCAGAAAGAAAACATTGGAAATCATCTATTCTATGAGATGACACTCTACAACCCTTAACTCCTTAATGCAATTAATATATTTATCAACTTCTCCTTATAGAAGTAATACTTTGTTTATTAAACAGCTAGTGCAAATAGATATACAGTAATTTGCACTTATCAGCTTAGGCAAGATAACTTGATGAAACACCAATTTCTCCTAATTAATTAAGAGGGAAGTGTATGCAAGGCACAAGAGAGAATTACAAATCAGATGTATGGAGTTAACGCTTTTCCCAGGGTATAATTTTAGGGAAGTGTCAATTCAGATGAACTCTACCCGAAAGATCTTTGACGCATATCTCCAAATTTTGATAGAGAATGTATATAGAACTTAATGTGTCTCGGGTAAGGAATTTATTAATACGAGGAATGCATACTACATGTACACATCTCCAAGCATTTTTTAAATACCCCTCACTTTTCATTCCTTGGGCAGATGTAATTTTCAAACTCCCTTGCACACTCTGTCTTTATTCATTTCCACACATTGCCAGCCAGAGATATGGATGCTTTTTCATGGTTTGCTCAGGTCATGGAAAATCCAAAAAGTTGTGGTATTTGAGTATAAATTATGGAAAGTTATGCAAAATGACTGAATTTGAAATGTTTTAGAAAAATGACAAGGAAAAAATTCTATCATTAGATCAGTGCTGTTAAATTATTTTGGACCCATCTTCATGGTGATAAGTCAGGAAAGTACAAGAAAGGTCCTGAAAAAGTTCATGAGCACTCTTGAAATTTTATGACTTCAAAAGCATACATACCTAATGTTTTCTGCCTTTTCTTGGCTTCAATTTATACCAGCTTTGCAAGTAGACAACATGGAATGATTATATTTTAGCTGTAGGGTTTGATTTAATGGTTGGTGTCCCTGTTGTGCTCTAAGGTTTGGTACTTTTTCCATGCCACAGATACACTTTGATGGGGGCTGTCTATGTTGTGCCTGCTTGTGATCATCTGTACAGTAATGCCATTAACTTAAAATGTTTTTCGTTGATATTGTTTTTGTAGCTTGAATCACTCCCTAAAGAAGACCTTATAAAATACGTCAGGAAACAACTTGCTCTGTTAAAACAAACCAAAGCCAAGTGTGACGGTAGAGTGGAAGTTTATTTTTATTTAAATCCTCCCTTCTTCCCCTCCAATTTCTTTGACTAGTAATGAATTGAAGCTTAAAAATGAAATCATAACCATTAAAGTCTAATCAATCCCAATCATTCTGGTTCATTTTCTTCTTTAGAATCCTCTGACTCCTTGGTGTGGCCAAAAAGTGTTCCTCCTTATAGTATCAAATTTAATACACTATCAAGGGAAAAGGGGATGAGTGTTTAGACAAGTCTCAACTAGCCCTTTACTGCCTAAAAAAATGCCAAATTTTCTTAAAATGAGAATGATGGACCATTAGATCACTTATAATTTATATCATTTTAAAGGTATTTTCTGGGGTATGCAATAAATGACATTAACAGGTGTGGAGGAGGTAACTGAAAAGACTGACAAGTGTCCAAAGTGAAAAATAACAAAAAAGTTGAAATTTTTCGTTTGCCTCGCATATATAGTTCAAATTGCAGCTCTCAGAGCAATGATTGTTGTGAGATATCACTTGAACAAAACAGTACAAAGATGAAAAGTTCCAAAAGTTGCGGGGGTGGTAAATGAAGTCTTACATTGGAGAGGGCCATGATTTTATGCCTTTAATGAGCACATCTTTCAATTACCTTTTGGTTGCGAAAATTTGATATTTTTCATATTTATTGTTAAATAACTTTATACTGTTTCCTTTTTGGCAGCATTCCTGTGTAACTTTTAAACTTATAGAAAATCCTCTGTGGTTGTAGATTTGACTTGAAGGCAAAATTTTTAAAGAAATGTATACTATTTTAAAACTAAAAGAAACTACTACAACTTCAGTATGCTGTATCAGCAGCACTAACATAACAATGTTTATTTGTCTTGTGTAGAGTTGACGTCACAATTAGCTGACGAGAAAAATGAGGTGCAGAGACTGGAAAATGAAAAGAGAGATTGGTTATCGAGAGGAGTGCATGCAGAATTTGAGAAAAAAGACAAGGTTTTTTAAAATGATTTTTTTTTCAATCCCTCAAGTACCACAATCTATTGGATCAATGTCAGTAATGTGAGCAATTGCGCACCTACCCCTTCCCGAACCCAAAGACAGTCAACTGGTCACTTGTCAGGGATGATGTTCTCTTAAAGGAGACTTAGGTGTGCATTTGCTCAGACACAGACATGGATCCAATTGTTTGCTGATTATACCTCCAGTTATTGGATTTCCCTTGTGTGGGAGGCATATCACTTTAAGTGCATGGTTTGGTTGTCTTATTTCTTCCCTAAACTATAATTACAATCATTATGCTATTTTAAGAAGTAGTTTCACATTGGTCTTTTTTTTCTGGAATGGGTGGTTTGCAATACTTCTTGAAACTCTGGTTGATGTCATTTCTCTGAAACTTTACATATACAAGGACTTATTTTTGATAAACTTTTCAGGGCTATGCCCTGACAAAACCTGCACATTATGGTTGTCTGCCTCTTTGCAACTTGCACAACTTTGCTGATTTGAAGTACCTTTGTTAGAGCTATGTATTCCAGATTTCCAAGACCAGAGCCTTTAGGCCTTTAGTTGTTCCTCTTAGAGCACAGCTTTGCACTTCACTGTTTAATATTCTGGCTAAAGATTCTCAACCAAACATAAAAGGAATAATCATCTTTCGGAGATAATAAAAGGTCAAAATATGAATTAACAAGACAATCATTAGCTACTTTGAAACTCCTTGCAAAAATTATGCTCAGCCTGGTATAAAATGTTAGGTTAAACTGAAGATGGTTCATTATTCAGTTTTGCTAACCAATAGCTGAAAACCAGTTGAGTAGATGATTAGCCCTAAACTTAATAATAATAGCCATTATTATAATGATAATAATGATAATAATAATGCAAATAATAATAATAATTATAGCAATGATTATAATGATAATAGTAATAATTACAATTATATCACTTTTTCAAAGAGTTTCTCTTGGTGGCTCTTCTTTGTTAACCTGTTAACTCCCAAGATTTCATTAGTAATTCTCCTTACTGTCTGCCATACAATTCTTATGATGTCAATTTGGAGAATTTGTTATTGGATCAATTAATAATCCCCTAATTGGTATTTTACTTTATTCTCACCACTTCTATGCTTGATATTGTCTTGATATTGTAAGGAGAAATTCTCCCTTAACCCTTTAACTCCCATGTGTGACCAAGACAGAATTTCTCCTTACAATATCAATACAATATCAACCAGATAAGTGATGAGAATAAAGAAAAATATCAATTTGTGGGATAATTACTTGATCCAATACTAAATTCTCTGAACTAACCCTGGAAGAATTGTATGGTTGAAATTGAGGAGAATGACAAATTTCATCTGGGAGTTAAAGGGTTAATCACTCATGGGAGGTAAAGGATTAAAAATAAATTATATTTGTCATTGATATTAGTTAGATTAAAGACACATCAAGAGAAACAAATACCAGTATTAAATACTGACAGTGGTAACGTTGAATATCTTGTGATTAAAATTGATGGCCTGTTTTACTGTTATAACTTTCATCTGTGGATAAATCAGATTCTAAAGAAAAATAAAGAACTTAAAATGGCTGCCGAACTTGGAAAAAAGATGCTTGAGGAAAATGACGATTTGCGGGGAATGTACAATGAATTGGAACAAGAACATGAAAATACAGTTAAAGTAAGCTGGTTGCTTTAGATTGATCTTTAAACTCTCAGAAGTGATTAATATGTTACAACCACTCTATAGAGTTACTGGCGTTAAAAGTCATCTGAATACTGCAGAGCTTTGAAATGGCTAAATATGATTGCTCTAAATTAAGTCAAACTTAAAAGAGCAATTAATCATAACACTGTTATATCAATGGTTTTATTTCAAAACTGAAGGTGATTTTGTGTTGAATGTTAAGCAGAAAGGATAAATGATATATTATTTTCTTAAAAGATGGTAAAAATAAACAATGAACTTTTCTGTATTGTTAAAAGGGATGAAAAAGAATGTGGTTTAATAACAATTTTACCATTTACAATTATTTCTATAAGATTTGGCATGTAATATTTGATTATTTTTCAAGGAACTTGAAAATGAGTTGTCAGCTGTTGTTATGGAGAGAGATGGACTTCAGCAGTCACTTAAAGTTTTACAAGAAGAATATCAAAGTGTTGTCAAACAGTCAATGGTATGTACTAATAGTAATATAACATAAACAATTTAATATGTACAGTAGTACCTCTTGCAAGCCTCTTAAGGCTACTGTGCATTTAATAGTGAAATGATAAGTACAAGTAATATATAATGTCTGAAATTTTTTTTACTTAAATTCTTCTATGGGATTTGTTTCACAGAGGATGTAAGTTTATAGCAAGTTGAAGAAAGCAAGAGTTTTGTGACTTTTTTTATATGAATAATTGTGAAAAAAAACTTTAATTGGAATACAGATAGCCCAAAATAGTGACAAGTGGTATGTATAAATTTTCTTACATTGTGTAAAGTGTTTGCCTTATGGTATTTATCATACCCTGATCAATGTGTGATAAACTCTAGGAATACAAAAATGCTCTGGAACTACAAGCTATTCAAGAAGACAAAGCACAAGAACAACTGCAGAAAGATAATCAATCCTTGCTAGAGAAGATTCAGGTATTTATTTTTTCTAAATTATGTAAACTATTGGTGATTAATATACATCTCTAACTAACTAAGTTTGAGGTCGGTTCTGTAAATTTAGGACCTAGCTTTTTCTGCTTGAATTTATGGCTCAAGTGGTGACTTTACCACAGCAATCAGTACTCCTGGGAAGAAAGAGGAATTTTTGAGAGAAGGTGTTTCACCAATAGCACCTTAGGAACACCTTACCAGGTGCTGAATCCCTACCATTTGATCAAGAGTACACTACACCTTCCTCTTGACCATCATGAATCCCATACATACCTTTTCTCCTTAACTCTGCTGTCATATATTTCTGTAAATCCCTATAGGAACTTCAGCAAGAGAAAGAAAAAACACAGGAAACCCTAGTCAAATTTGAACAAGACAACCGTAATCTTTTAGAAAACTGCAAGGTAAGAACTTTCTTTTGCTAACTTTGAATGTACCTTTTTGAAGAAAAATAATACATGTAATGTCTTGACAGTTTTTCTCCTCACCTACACATTGCTGATTTTGTGGTTGTAGGAGCTGGAAGATAAGATTGGATTGCTAAACAACCAGGCATCTGTGAGAAGTGAAGATGCAGAATCATTGGCATTGACAAAAGAGGTGAGACTGTTGTATGAACACTCTGCTCTAAAATATTCAGCACCTTTTGAGACTCGGGTGCTGCAACACATTTGGTAATAATAATCAAGTATTCATCATAACAATTTAAAGCTGTAATACTTCCCAATACAAGCTTTGGCAAGAAATAAATTTGAGGTTTTTGTAATGTTTAGAGAGTGCATTTTTGAAGTGGACAACAGTTTTTAGGAAATACAAGCTAGGCGGCACAGTGACCATTAGCTAATGCAACTGCTCTCTCATCTGTATCAATTTACTATGTACTGCTTGTAGCAAGTCATTGTTTAAAGATAAAGTCTGTACTGGAG